AACACAGATTTGCCTCCCAGGCGTAGTTCTTGGATTATTTTTGTAAAGTGTCTGGATTTTATTTGTAGGTACTGAAGTTTTTCAAGATATTAGTAAATTTAATTTGGCCTCTGGCTTTCTTTCTTTCTTTTTCAGATATTGTGAAAGGGATAATAATTTGATATTTAGTCATTAGTACTTGTTACAGACTTCTGCTACATAAACCGACTGACTGGATGCTTTGATTTTGAAGTTCTCTATTCTCTATTATTCTCTCAGTTTTTTAGTACTTCTATTAAAATTTTTCCTGAGTTATCTTTATAATTTTTCATGTATTTTTTCCTAAGAAGATAAATTTATATTCTGTAGATTGTTCTCCATGGATAGTCTCTCTAATGTGCTCCTCCTTTTCTTTCAGCTTTTTCCCCCATCATTTCTCACCTTGAACTTTATGCAGTAGTTACTCCAGGCTTGTATTATATAAGATTGGATCATCATAGATTGAGGATACGGCTATACATTTTGCCTTAAATTTAATCATCATGCTTCTCTTCACTATTTTGCCTTCACTGTAAATTTTCCCCCACTGCCTACAAACTGCCACTTTTCACCTGGCAGACGAGCTTATTTCCAGGATCTACATTAGGCAACATATCTGGGAAGCCTTCTCTGACTAACCCCCCACCTCCCACGTGGGCTAAATAGCACTTCTCTATATTTTTATAACACCCTGTGATATTTATCAGTATGTTTCCAGCTTTTAAATTCTTTTTTCTTAAATAAATACTGATTTCAGAGAGAAAGGAGAGGGAGTGAGAAATAGAAACATCAGTGATGAGAGAGAATCATCGATTGGCTGCCTCCTGCACGCCCCACACTGCGGGGTCAAGCCCACAACCCAGGCATGTACCCTGACCAGGTATGGAACTGTGACCTCCGGGTTCATAGGTCAATGCTCAACCACTGTGTCACACCGATCAAGCTGTTGGTGACCTTTTTTAATCATTTTAGTGAGGTTGAGCAGGAAATGGGGAGGAAGGAGGCCGCTTCCCTGACGTCATCTTATACTGCTCTCTCTGTTGACTCTGCACTAGCTACACTGGTTTCCTTGCTATTTTTCAAACATGTTTCCATTTCATGGCCTTTATGTGTGCTGTTCCCTTTGATTATCTGGTGTTAAATGCCCCACCTAACCCAGCACTCTTACCCGTAACCCGCTTTATAGTTTCTTCGTAATACTTAACACTATCTGACCTATGTATATTGCCTTTGCATTAGAATGAAGCTCCTGAGAGCAGGGATTTGATTATAATTACTGCTGTATCTCCAGCTTTTGGTACTTAGTAGGAGCTTGGTAAATGTTTGGCTGTTTACTAAGTGCTCAGTAAATGTAGAATGTATAAACAAATGAATGAGCAAATGAATTTTTCAAATCTCAGTTCATATGTCACTTCTGTCTTCTCAGCTACCAGCCTCTCCCAGAAAATTGAGACTTTTTTGTCCTGTACTGTCATTGTAACTTATACACTTCTCCATAACACCTAATTCATAGTGACTGCTAACAGTAATACTATCTTTTTTTTTTTAAAGGATTCATCCAGAGATATTAGGGAGGCTCTTCATGAACTCTTATGCTGTGCTAATGTTTCAACCAAAGAAGGGATTCATCTTGCACTGGTGGAGCTGCTGAAAAATTTAACCAAGTACCCTACTGATAGGGATTCCATATGGAAGTAAGGAATTTTTTGTGCATTTGCTCACTGAGTCAAATAACGTCGTAAATATACAGTCTTGATATTATTCACTAGAGGCCCCGTGAATGAAATTCGTGCACGGGTAGGGTCCCTAGTGGCTGTCAACCAGGACCTCACTTCCCCTGGCTGCCTGGGCCTCCCTTCCCCTAGTGCCTGCTGCCGCCAGCCAGGGCCTCCCTTCCTGTGGTTGGCCAGCCAGCCTCACCCCCTGGTCGAACTCCCGGTCGAGGGGACAATTTGCATATTAGGCTTTTATTATATAAGATTGGATCATCATAGATTGAGGATACGGCTGTCCATTTTGCCTTAAATTTACAAACCTGATTCAATTTAACTAAACTCTCGGGAGTCTGATTCCTAAATGGAATATTTTATTTTAGATTATTTATTCATTTGTCCATCCATCCACCTAGCAAATATATGCCTGCTATGTGCTTCCTATGTGCCAAACTCTGTGATAAGTGTTGGAAGTACAGAGGTGAGCTAATTAGATTTCCTTTTTCTCCTGTGTAGTGTTAATCACTGCTTTGCCCAGTTTGGATTTTGTACAGGATCACAACTATCATTGTAAAGATTAGAGGCAGGGCCGGCACTTGGTCTGCAGATTGAAAATCTCAGTCATTTTCCCCTTGATTACCTCTAGCTTTATTGACTAGAATCAAACTGTTAACACTGTTCATGAATTGCTGTTTGAAGAACTACTTGCTTACATTTAATATAAAAATTAAATGAGTAATTTAATTTTTACTTCCACTCTCTCTAAAAATCCATGGAAAAAATATCCTTGAGTGAGGATTACCAACAACAAAAAAAAGTGTGTGCTCCACATATTTAAATGAGCTTATGTGATGAGATCATGCCAACTGTGTATTTTCTTGATTTCCAGAAAAATTTATTACTAAGAGTAGAAAATGGTCGAATCAGGTACTTGGGAGAATGTTTTCATTCTTCCAAGAATAAAAGATACATTAAAAATTGAAGATACTGCCCTAGCCAGTTTGGCTCAGTGGATAGAGCGTCAGCCTGTGAACTGAAAGGTCCCAGGTTCAATTCCAGTCAAGGGCACATGTCCGGGTTGTGGGCTTGATCCCCAGTGGGGGACTTGCAGGAGGCAGCTGATCCATGATTTTCTCTCATCATGGATGTTTCTAGCTCTCCCTCTTCCTTCCTCTCTGAAATCAGTAAAAATATATTTAATAAAAAAAAAAAGGAGCCAGAGCCGGTTTGGCTCAGTGGATAGAGCGTCGGCCTGGGGACTCAAGGGTCCTGGGTTCGGTTCCGGTCAGGGGCGTGTACCTTGGTTGCAGGCACATCCCCAGTGGGGAGTGTGCAGGAGGCAGCTGATCGATGTTTCTCTCTCATCGATGTTTCTGGCTCTCTATCCCTCTCCCTTTCTCTCTGTAAAAAATCAATAAAATATATTAAAAAAAAAAGAAAAAAAAGGAAAACCAGCCTGGCGAGTGTGGCTCAGTGGTTGAGTGTCAACCTATGAACCATGAGGTCACAGTTTGATTCCTGGTCAGGGTACTAGCCTGGGTAGGGGCTCGGTCCCCAGTAGGGGGCGTGCAGGAGGCAGCTGATCACTGATTCTCTTTCATCATTGATGTTTCTATCTCTCTCTCCCCTTCTCCTTTCCTCTCTGAAATCAATAAAAAATATATATTAAAAAAAATACCTGAGAGTTCTTGTTTTAGGTAACACTTTTTTTTAAATCCTCACCCAAGGATATTTTTCCATTGATTTTTTTAGAGAAAATGGAAAGCAGTAGGAGAGAGATAGACAAACATTGATGTGAGACACGTCGACTGGTTGTCTCCCGCACGTGCCCTGATCAGGGCCAGGGATTGAACCTACAACCAAAATACATGCCCTTGACCATAATTGAACCCAGGACCCTTTAGTCTGCAAGGTTGACACTCTATCCACTGAGCCAAACCAGTGAGAGCTAGGTAATATTTTTGATATCTGGTTATTTGTTTTGCCGTTTCTTCATGTTCAGTCCAGTTCAACTCAATTCGATATACATATATTGATTGTCTTCAAGGAGCACTCAATCATTTGGTGTGTGGGGTTGGGGTAGGGAGAAATACCTATGTCAGTATCTGTACTTTTTTGGGGACACAGAAGGAATTCATTCTGCTTGATGGAAGGGATTGTTATATAGTGTTTAGCAGTTTATTCTTCTTGCCTTAAAATAAGATTTGTGGCTATTTGGTTCACCCAGAATATTTATGGCAAGACTGTCTTTATTGATATTTGTAGACAGAAAACTCCTTCACCTTAACGTGCTCCAAAAGATTTTGGAGTGACCTAATTATCACTTGATTTTTTTTCATCTTTCCTCATGAATGGTGATGCAAGCAAACCCAGGTTCCTCTGTCTGCCACAACGAAAGACAAACTCTTGAGACAGGTGCTGGTGAAAAAGGAAAGATGTTTATTTGAATGCCGGCATCTCGAGAAGATGGGGGACTTTTCCAGTCCTCAAAAAGCCATCTTAATAATCTCAATGCAGGCAGAGGCTTTTGTAAAGATGGAGATGGAAAGTGTAACAAAGAGATCGGGGTGGGGAATGGGGAGCGCAGCTCTGAGAAGGGGGATCATTGGAAAGGGAGAAGGGCTGAGGGACTGGGAATATGTCACTTCTCAAGCTTCCTCTCCTCATTTTGGAACTTTCTTCAAACAAGAATTGGTAGATTTACTGTGGAAACCTGTGCATCTTCATGGCTGGTGCCAAGCAGCCCTTTCTCCCCTGGAACTTCTTTAAGCTGTAAAATAGGGTAGATAGCCCTAGCTGACTTGGCTCAGTGGATAGAGCGTCAGCCTGCGGACTGAGGGGTCCCGGGTTCGATTCCGGCCAAGGGCACATGCCTTGGTTGTGGGCTTGATCCCCAGTCGGGGGCATGCAGGAGGCAGCCGATCAATGATTCTCTCTCATCATTGATGTTTCCGTCTCTCTCTCCTCCCTTCCTCTCTGAAATCAATAAAAAATATATATATATTTTTAAAAAAGGGTAGATAAAGAATGAAAACACAGGGCTTTATTTACACACTTCAAGAAAACAGAGGGGTGGCTGCAGCCTTGAGAAAAGGTAAAATACACAGCCTTTATTTCTTAACTGAAATGTTAAGGTTACAGTGGTTTATTTAAAATATCAAAAAAGAATGTGATAAAAGAGTGAAGGAATAGTCACAGTGGCATGTTTTTAAGACACTGCTAAAGATGGGTACATAAATGAAAGTTTTGAAGGACATGTTTGTTGTGTTTATATACCTTTAGTGTATTCATAACAGATGCTTATTGAACACATGTTATAACCCAGTCACTGTGTTAGGTGCTGTGGAGATTTAAAAACGGATTTATCTCAGCCCTAGCCAGTTTGGCTCAGGGGATAGAGTGTCAGCCTGAAGACTGAAGGTTCCCAGGTTCGATTCTGGTCAAAGGCATGTACCTTAGTTGCAGGCTCCTCCCTAGCCTGGCTCCTGGTCGGGCATGTGCAGGAGGCAACCAGTTGATGTGTTTCTCTCACATCGATGTTTCTGTCTTTCCCTCTCTCTCCCACTCTCCCTAAAAATCAATGGAAAAATATTCTCAGGTGAAGATTAAAAACAACAAAAAACAAAACAAAATTGGATTCATCTCAGAAACCTAGCCTTCAAAATAGCAGGTAGGGAGAGAAGAAAGAAATGTGTAGATAGGGAGGTGGATGAGATAGTAAAACATATTACAAGTCAGACTTGAAGTCTAGAGAGGCCCAGGTACTTAAGGGTCTCTGAGGGGACCCAGTTAATAACTCTTGTATTCTCCACCTGAGATCTGAATAGAAAGAGATAAAATAAAAGAGTGGCACCTGGAAGCCAAACTACAACCTTTACAAAGTCCCCTTAGCGAGTAGAAGCCCTGAGAGAGGTCAGAAAATTAGTGAAGTGAGTTGTTTCCACATAGAAGGAAAAACAGGACTAGGGAAAAGTTTACTAACAATGTCAAGTGTTTTAAATGTGATGCCTTTCATATCCCATATATCCACAAATTTGTTAATGGTGTTTGTTTTCTTTCTTTTGCCAGTCTGCCTATTCTCCAGTCCCTGGTGAAATCCATCTTCTTTGTGAAACTTTCTCTTATCATAGTAATTTCTTCTACCTTTGACAGGTAGAAAGCAGACTATCATTCATTTGATAGTTCATTACTTTGTGTTAGTCATGTTTGCCGCAGCTGGATCATAAATTCATTGAGAACAGAAATTAAGATTTATATTTATTTTCAATTCATCACACCTTTTAAACCAGAACTTAACAAATAAAAAATAATAAAAATACATAATTCCTAGCACACATGTAGTTCTTTTTTTTTTAATATGTTCTTACTGATTTTTAGAGAAGAAGGGAGAGGCATAGAAAGATAGAAACATCAATCAGTTGCCTCCTGCATGCCCCACACTGGGGAGGGAGCCAGCAACCCAGGCATGTGCCCTGACTTGGAATCGAACCAGCGACCTCTTGGTTCATGAGTTGACACTCAACCACTAGGCCACACTTGTAGTTCATGATAGTTTATAAAGGACCTTAATGTAGTTATAATAGTTAACTGATAGCCAATTAATAGCCAATTGATTTCTTACTTTATGACAGACCAGAGGCCTGCTGCCTGGATTTGTGTACCAGTGGGGTGCCTCGGGCTCTACTCTGGGAATCAGGCAGAAACTGGCTCTCTGACATCCTCTGAGGGGTCCCAGATTGTGAGAGGGCACAGGCCAGGCTGAGGGACCCCACTGGTGCATGATTGGAGCCGGGGAGGGACTGCGGGAGGGCTCCAGGGTGTGTCCAACTGGTCTCGCCCAGTCCCAATCAGCTGGACCCCAGCAGCAAGCTAATCTGCCGGTTGGAGCGTCTGCCCCCTGGTGGTCAGTGCATGTCATAGCAACTGGTCGAGCGGTCGAATGAAGGGTTGGATGCAGCATATTGGGCTTTTATTATATAGGATACCTAAGAAGCTCTCCAGCAGACTTCCATTCACCAGAACTGGATTAGTTGGTTACTTGCAAATCAGTCACTGGAAAATATGGATGGGGTTGCTATGATGGGTTTATTAGACCAATTGTGGTTGAGCCCTTGGGCTGGGCCTGCCTTCTCTGGGCACTTTGCTATCTACTTTATACCTGAGTAAAATCAGGGTTCTCTTGGCAAGGAAGATGGGGGAAATGGTTGTTAAATAACCAGTAGTAATAGCAGCTATATCAGCTCTTTTGTCTTCATAATAACCAAATTTTTAGACAAATTAACTGAGTTTTAGAATAATTGAATGACTTGTCTGAAGTCATAGAAGGAGCAAAACTAGGTGGTTGAGAATTTGTAATTCTAAATCAGGCTTTCTGATTTGAAATCCTAGTACTTTGAAACGCATTTATAACTTAGTAATGTGGGCTCTCATTTTGTTTATTTCAGATGCCTGAAGTTTCTGGGAAGTCGACATCCAACCCTGGTGCTTCCCTTGGTTCCAGAGCTCCTGAGCACCCACCCGTTTTTTGACACAGCTGAACCAGACATGGATGATCCAGCGTGTATCCTCTGTGCTTAGGACAGACCCTACTGACTTGGCAGGAATTCTAGCATCTTTTCCTGTAGTGTAGCTTAGGTGGTCTGAGTTTTATTTATTTTCATTTCTTTTAGGTAAGAGTATATCCTGAGGTAGCCTAGCCTGGAGGTTATTCTCAGCTTTGTTGTTTTCACAGTAATTGCCCTTTGCCATTTAATACAAATAATTTTTACACCATTTATCGAACACCTGCTATATTCCACATACCATGTAAATGCTTTATACATTTTATCAATGATCTTCCAAACAACTGAGGAAGGAGGCATTATTCCCAGCTTACAGATGAGAAAACTGAAGCTCAGAGAGGCTAAGTAACTCTCCAAGCATTAAATCCGGGATTCGCAGTCAGCTACCTTTGGTTTGAAGCCTATGGACTTTCCCCTACGTCAGTGATGGCGAACCTTTTGAGCTCGGCATGTCAGCATTTTGAAAAACCCTAACTTAACTCTGGTGCCGTGTCACATATAGAAATTTTTTGATATTTGCGACCATAGTAAAACAAAGACTTATATTTTTGATATTTATTTTATATATTTAAATGCCATTTAACAAAGAAAAATCAACCAAAAAGATGAGTTCGCGTGTCACCTCTGACACGTGTGTCATAGGTTCGCCATCACTGCCCTATGTCTTATTGCGTGTTTAATTTGATAATGCAGCCTGAATGAGTGGATGCAGCTGAGCTACTATGCCTCTGATACAAGTTCAATAGGTCTGTGATTGCCATGGACAGCATGCCGTGCAATTGGATTATTTTCCAGTCATGGGAATACATTTACATTAGTGCATTCATGCTCTTCCATGATTCTTTTCACTCTATGCAAGACCATTGGTGAAGTTTAGGGATTTGATTTGAGCCCTCTTGTGATCCGGGACCCCTGGGGGGATGTCGGAGAGCCGGTTTCAGCCTGATCCCCGCAGGCTAGGCTGAGGGACTAGTGCATGAATCTGTGCACCAGGCCTCTAGTAAAAATATATTTAAAAAATATTAAAAAAACAACACACTTTTTTTTTTTTTTTTACAGAGAGGAAGGGAGAGGGATAGAGAGCCAGAAACATCAATGAGAGAGAAACATCGATCAGCTGCCTCCTGCACAACCCCTACTGGGGATGTGCCGGCAACCAAGGTACATGCCCTTGACCGGAATCAAACCTGGGACCTCTCAGTTCGCAGGCCGATGCTCTATCCACTGAGCCAAACTGGTTAGGGCACAACACACATTTTTAAAAGCTATTAAAGTACTTTTCTTGGGGGGTAGTTGGAGGATTGTGTTATTTAGGAAATGTGTTTGGCTGTAACAGAGATTGCCCCCAAATGGAACTTAAAATAAATTCTGATTTTTATTTGTTTCTAATGTAAAAGAAGTTGGAGGTAAGCAGTCTGGTGTTGGTAAAGCAGCTGCACATTATTCCTGGTGATCCAGGCTCTTGTTTCTTTCTGTTGTGCCATTTTCAGTTCCCTGTGATTATTACTAGAGTTCCAATCATCAGTTTCAGGTTCTAGGAAGTTATAGGATATTTGGAATAAAATCAATATTCTATTAGTAAGGAAAAAGAGATAAGTGGATATTGTATAGGCAAATAGCAGGATCTGCCATAAGGGTACATACAAAAGATGGGAAGTTATATTTATCTTTTACTTTTTTTTTTTTTAGTATATTTTATTGATCTTTTACAGAGAGGAAGGGAAAAAGATAGAGAGTTAGAAACATCGATCAGAGAGAAACATTGATCAGCTGCCTCCTGCACATCTCCTACTGGGGATGTGCCCGCAACCCAGGTACATGCCCTTGATCGGAATCGAACCTGGGATCTCTCAGTCCGCAGGCCGATGCTCTATCCACTGAGCCACACCGGTTTCAGCTATCTTTTACTTTAAATTTGTAATTTTCTCTGTTATAAAATTAATATGCATAGAAAGAAAATCCCCCCAAATAGAAAGAAGAAACTTTGTAGTTAACATCCAAAGTTCTACTATCCAAAGTAATCAACTGTTAGTATTTTGGTGTATTTTCTTCCTTTTTTAAAATCTTAGGGTTGGGATTTTTCTTTTAGTTTATTTTTTTTAATACATATATATTTCATTAACAAATAGTTGATAATAGATAGCTGTCATATCTTCTATATTTTAGAGTCTGCCTTTTTCATGTGTGACAAAATGCTTATGATACAATATTATAAATTCTTTATAAACATAATTTTTAATGATTATATAATACTCCATCAAGTAAATGAAGTATAAGTTGTATAGTTATTCTCCTGGTTTGGGATATTTAAGTTATTTCTGATTATTTGCTATTATAAAGGTTTCTCTGCTATCTTATTATTTACTTAGAATAGATTTAAGATGTGGACTTATTCAACATTCATGAGACACTTACTGTCTAGTACCAAATTATTATCCAAAGGGGATTGTGCCATTATATACTTTAGTAGCCAATGTACCAAAAGTTTCCACTTATTAGTATTTTCAACAGCATCAAGTGTTATTATTATTATTGATCTGGTGCACGAATTCGTGAATGGGTGGGATCCCTCAGCTTGGTTGCGATTGGGGCTGGCTGGCCAGGGGGAGGTACTGCGGGAGGTTGGCCAGCCATGGAAAGTTGGTTGTGGGAGCGCACTGACCACCAGGGGGCAGCTCCTGTATTGAGCATCTGCCCCCCTAGTGGTCAGTGCACGTCATAACCAGTTGACTGATCGTTCGGTTGTTTGGTTGCTATTTTGTAGTTTTTCTCTTCTTTTGCCAATTTCTTATTTTTTATTGTTTGCTTGTTTACTTTTTTTAATCTTTATTGTTGAAAGTATTACATAGGTCCTTCTTTTTACCCCACTAACCTCTTCCAGCCCTCTCCTGCCCCTTCTGCCCCCCAGGCCCTCACCACAGGCATTATTTTTTAGAACTTTTGGTAATTGGGATAATATGGAGTAGGATAATCTGTCTCTGTTTGAATTTGCATTTCTGTATTAGAAAATTGTAGTCACTTAGTGGGAATTTTGGGGGCAGGAAGTGGGGACACTAGATTCTGGACAAACTCAACCTTTTGTACCTTCAGGCTTACTTAACTCACTCATCCATCAGACATTGCAGTTTTGGTTCTTATCTTCAATGCTGCTAAAAGCTGCCCAACAATGCCAGCATTGTTCTCGGATCATACCTTCAGGCACTATGCCTACCTTAGGGACAGTCTTTCTCATCTTGTTCCTGCCTTGAGGGTATGTTGAAAAAACATCTTTTATCCTTGTTTTTGGTCCTTTGTGGTTATTAAATAGTAAAAAACAGACTATATTCTCTGAAAAAGGATTCATTCATGCTCTTTCTCTCATGAGCTCTATCCCATTGTTTTGTACTTTTGCTTCTCACCTTTTAAAAACGATTCATTTTTTAAATGTTCTTAGGTTATTGATTATGTTATATCAGGCTCAGTTGGTTAGAGCATCAGACCAATACACCAAGGTCGCAGGTCTTGGTCAGGGCACATACAAGAATCAACCAATAAAGCTTCAATAAGTGGAACAACAAACCAATGTTTCTCTCTGAAATCTATAGTAATAAAAATGTAATATGTTAATTAGACTGGACATCTTTCTGGACGACCTTCCAGATGAAGCTGGGGCTGCGTGGGAAGCCTGGGTCCTTGGTGCTGGAGGGAAGCCAGTGCCAGCAGCTGGGAGAAGGAAGGCCTACTCTTGTATGAATTTTGTGCATAGGACCTCTAGTCAATAAATAAATGAGAAAAAACAATTTTTAATTAGGCCAAATTAAAGTTGGACTTAATGCAGTAAAATAGTTTGGTCTTGATTTGGCTCTGATAAAAATGAGAGTGATTATAAATAAATGAATAAATAAATAAGTGAGTAAGTAAATGTCAGAACATTAATTTTTAGTCCTATTTCTATGGTTAGCCCATTTATTTCAGTTATTAATGGAAAATAATAATATACCATTCTCTTTTTCTCCTTGC